GCTGCTTCCTGGGGGTGGAGACCTGGTCGAGGACCGGGCCGCGGGGACACTAAAAAGCCCCGAAATCATCTCAAGATAACTTCTCGCTGTGCTTCTCTTGTTGTGCTTGTGGGGTTCACGTTTTGGTTCTTTGAACCTGACTCTTCCTCGTGTTTTCCGTTTGTGGTCTTCATCTCAGCTCTGCCTCCTACATTCCCTTGCATTCCTCCATTGACCCTAAGCGAGTTCTCTTTTAGTTCGTGGTCTCCTGTTGGTGCTCAATTGCCCCTGGTGTCCCTTCGTGGGGTTCTGCTTGCTTTGAGTCGTCCTTTTTTTCTACTCAGTCTTGTCTGCAATGGCATATACGCCTTTCTTCTTCCCTTCCTCTGAAAGTCTGGGATTTTGGGGTGCTTTTCTCCCCCTTGGTGTGCGTTGTTTGGTTTCCAGTCCATTCCTCGGGACACCATTTCTGCTGTGCGTTCTTGGGTCTGTCCTTTGTTACACTGCAGCTGCTGCTCGACTTTATGTTTAGTTCTTTCTTTGTGGTGTCCTACCCTGTCTGTTTCCCTGGGTACTTTTGGGTGATGGTCTTGTCCCTGGTGACTTGGAAGAAGTCCAGTTTAGTTCTGTCCCAGATTCGGACTTGGCTGGGTCTTGTCTGGGAATCTCAAACAGCGTCCATGTTTCTCCTTCCTGCGGCATTGTTCCGACGGTGGTCCCGCCTTTGGCTGTTCATGAGAGGGTCACGGATTACTCGGCGGTTGTTCGAGCAGCTGTGCGGGAGTTTGACCTTTGCTGTGCTGGTTTACTCGTTGGGTCGGGTTTGGCTTCGTCGCCCGTTCTGGTTCCTTCGGGGCCGTCCCTTCCGCCACTCTCGTGATCGCAGGGTTCGTCACCAGGGGCTCTTGCGTCGGTTGCTGCATCTCTGGCTTCCTCTTTGGGTTTTTCGGGGTTCTCTGCCTTGGCGTCTTCCGGAACCCTCGCTCGTAGTGTTCACAGACGCCTCAGCTCTCGGCTGGGGCTTTGTGACCAGTGGTCACCAAACAGGCCAGGAGCAGTGGACTCAGTCACTCCGTCGGGTTCACAGCACGGTGCGGGAGTTTGCAGCAGTGTGGCTTTTGCTGCAGCGGATTCGGCTCGCTTGAGTCTCTACATTCTGGCTCCATTCAGACTGCGCCCCTGTGGTTCATTGCCTGAACTGGGGGGGGTATCTTCGGTCCTTGGCTCTTTGGGGCTGGTCATCTTGAGTAGCTTTTCTGCTGAGTTCTCGAGGATTAGCTCTCCGTGCTGTTCACATTAGGGGTGTGTCCAACGCACTGGCGGATGGCCTGTCTCGGTTCATTCCCTTGTCCACTGAATGGACGGTCGATGCCGATTCCTTCAGTTTTTTGCGTTGGCGTGGTTGAGGCGTCTTCTAAAATATGTGGCGCCTTCCCCCGACTCCGAAGCCGTCGCGGTAAACACTTTTAGGCAGGACTTGTAGAGGTTAGGTTCCCAGTACTACTTCCCCCCGGTCTGGCTATTGCTTTGGGTTCTGGCTCGGCTGGGGTCCTATCAAGGGAGGGTCCTCCTTGTGGCCCTATGGTTGACGGCCCAGCCTTGGTTTCAGACGCTGCTTACAAGGTGTCTGAACCCGGGGCGTGTCCACGGCTCCCACCTCTGTCAGCAGTTTGGGCCGGTGAGGTACCTAGCTCGTTCGATCTACTCTTCCGCTCTTCGCGTCTGGTATATGTGATGCATGTGTATCACCACTTGTATGGTGATCAGGCGATTTCTCTCATGGTGTCCCACCTGTGGTCTCCTTCTTGGCGACAGTATAAAGTCTCCTGGCATTTTCGCCACTTCCTTTCTTTTCGTAGGTTGACTTACGTTTCTGTTCGTGTTATGTCTTTTCTTTCTTGGTTCTTTCAGGATCGACATCCTGGCAAATTCAGAGGTTTTTGTTTCAATTTGGCCAGCCTCTGAACTGGCGGTCTAGTGGCCGGCTCGGTGGGGCCAGCGTGAGCGAGCGGCGCGTCAGGTTGGTGAAGATTTGCTTGTTACCTTGTTTTTCTTAGGGGAGTTCATGGGCTCGGTTTGGTCTTGCATTGGGCTGCAATTTTCTACCAGTTGGGGTCTGTTTTGGGGCGCCTACCTTTCTGGGTGCCTAACCCAGGTCGATGGCAGACATGAATATACTCTCAAAGAGCAGAGTTTTCATAGGCCATTGCTCCCTTTGCCTCTCTGAGGGAACCAGATTCTGGCTCGTTCCTGGTAGGCATAAAACTCCATATGGCTGAACCCCCCTGATATAGCTAATATCAGTCTGATAGCTCCAGAGAGCTTCCGAGGTTCACCCAGAAAATGGCCTTTCATTACATTCAACGCTGGTTTTATCACCCGAGTAAATGGCAATGTATACGTTGATAATCTTCAAATTTTACTACAATGTACATATTAATTTTCTTCACATTTTCTTACAATGTACCTGTTAATATTCTTCACATTTTGCTACAATTTACCTACTTAAAATTATTTGTTAGTTTAAGGACCTGCCCGAAACGCTATGCATGTTAGTGGCTTTGCAAGAATGTAAAAACATCAATGCTATGTACTCTCAAACTCAATGTACCTTCTTGTATAATACATAAATAAATAAATAAAAGTAAATAAATGATAACACACATATATATATATATATATATATATATATATATATATATATATATATATATATATATATGTCGTACCTAGTAGCCAGAACGCACTTCTGAGCCTACTATGCAAGGCCCGATTTGCCTAATAAGCCAAGTTTTCCTGAATTAATATATTTTCTCTAATTTTTTTCTTATTAAATGATAAAACTACCCATTTCATTATGTATGAGGTCAATTTTTTTTATTGGAGTTAAAATTAACGAAGATATATGACCGAACCTAACCAACCCTACCTAACCTAACCTATCTTTATAGGTTAGGTTAGGTTAGGTAGCGGAAAAAGTTAGGTTAGGTTAGGTTAGGTAGGTTAGGTAGTCGAAAAACAATTAATTCTTGAAAACTTGGCTTATTAGGCAAATCGGGCCTTGCATAGTTGGCTGAGAAGTGCGTTCTGGCTACTAGGTACGACATATATATATATATATATATATATATATATATATATTGGTGTATACTGGCAGCAGGTTTTCTTTCAAACATGTTTCATTGAATATGACCGCATATTCTGTATTTATTATTTTCTGGTTTAGGGCTTCTATCCCTCTAACTATTTTCTTAGCATCAGGGCTTAATTGAAATAGGAGTTCTCCAAAACTCATTTTCGTTCTTTTAAGGTGAAGAAAAGAAGTGATTTACTATAGAGTGTATTACACTTATTTGTATAATTTGCACGACGTTTCGAACCTCCATGGTTCATTCTCAAGTGAACAGATCTTACAATACTAGTTGATTTTATACCCGCATTAGGTCAGGTGATAATACAATGAAGGTGAAAACACGGGGGGATACATAAGGGATAAACATAGGGGCTGCAGAAGGCTTATTGGCCCATACGAGGCATCTCCTATCTAAACACAAAGATTAATCCAGTGTAATTGGCCTGTTATGTTGGACATTGTCTTCTGTGTTGGCATCGATATGTTCTTGTCTTGTCCTTACTCTCATGGTGGGTAGAGTAAATAGTTCCGTGATTTGGGTGTTCATGGTAGGTCGCTCTATTCTTATTCAATTCACATAAGAATAGAGCGACCTACCATGAACACCCAAATCACGGAACTATTTACTCTACCCACCATGAGAGTAAGGACAAGACAAGAACATATCGATGCCAACACAGAAGACAATGTCCAACATAACAGGCCAATTACACTGGATTAATCTTTGTGTTTAGATAGGAGATGCCTCGTATGGGCCAATAAGCCTTCTGCAGCCCCTATGTTTATCCCTTATGTATCCCCCCGTGTTTTCACCTTCATTGTATTATCACCTGACCTAATGCGGGTATAAAATCAACTAGTATTGTAAGATCTGTTCACTTGAGAATGAACCATGGAGGTTCGAAACGTCGTGCAAATTATACAAATAAGTGTAATACACTCTATAGTAAATCACTTCTTTTCTTCACCTTAAAAGAACGAAAATGAGTTTTGGAGAACTCCTATTTCAATTAAGCCCTGATGCTAAGAAAATAGTTAGAGGGATAGAAGCCCTAAACCAGAAAATAATAAATACAGAATATGCGGTCATATTCAATGAAATATATATATATATATATATATATATATATATATATATATATATATATATATATGAACTCATCACCATAATCAGGACATGTTACTACACACTGCACTATACCCAAAATATAGCATCATACAATATGGAGCAAAGCACCATACAAGACGGAGCACAGTATCATACAATATTGAACATAATACTTAACAATATTAAGCGTAACATTATACAATACAGAGCATAGCATCATACAATTCGAAGCATAACACCATACAATATGAAGCATAACACCATGCAATATGAAGCATAACACAATACAATAAAAGTATGACACCATACGATATGGAGCATGAATCATATCATTTTGCTCGAAACGCTGTAAGTATTAGTGGTTTAGGCATAGTATGTACTAGCTCTGTCTAGAAATCCAACATTATGTTTGTAACTCATATTGTATGTATGTACTTTTACCTGAATAAACATTATTATTATTATTATTATTATTATTATAAAAAATAAACCATAACAGTGTTTATACTGAGCATAACACCATAATATACAGAGCATAACAACATTCAACGTGGAACATAACACCGTACATTATGGAGCATGACACTATACAATACGGAACATGACAAAAAGACGAAGCATAACACCATACACTAAGGAGCATTACACCTTACAGCATGGAACAAAAAGCCATATAATACCGAGCATAACACCATACCACACTGAGGATGTCACCAGACAATACAGAGCACCATACAATGCAGAGCATGTCGTTTACTTCGCCTTAAATGACCCGGTCACCTGTCTTGGGGTTGCAGAGTGAGATGACCTTCTCCGGCGCTCCTTTCACGAAGACCTCGAGGAGCGCGTTGTTCCTGGTCATGGTCACTACCGTCATGCGTTGCTCCCGTGACTCAAACGGGAAGGTCTTGAGGATAGCTACTTCGTGCTGACTCAAGTCAACACCTTCCACAGCCTTGGGCTGCACCAGCACTGGTGTCACCATGCCATATTCGGGGTTCACCACACACACTGATTCATGCAGCACCTACCGTCACGAGAAATTGCTTTACGATGGCTCTTACTAGAGCACACATTAAAAACTTTCGTATTTTGAAGCTGAGAATGCATGAATCATTAATGCACCAACCTACTTATCGCTAATTAGGTAAACATATCATAAATCTCCGCCAGCGATACACACACACCTCTCTGTCTTCGAACCTGTTAGTACTCATATAAATACAGTTAATCTACTCAATATCCACTCAGCTTGGTCCGCCAAGAGGAAAACCTCCTCATATTCATGCTTCTCTGATGAGACTGGACTGTTTGTTGCTAAATCATTTGAGCTCTCGGGTTGAACTGTCCCACATCTAGCTAGTTACCCCCCTCCTTCCCCCCCCCCCCGACCTTCTCTGCTACTTAGAGACTAAAACTGTTGTGGTGCTGTGTTATTACTGTATTTACCCTTGCGTCTGGCAGTTCTCAGATCTATGGTAAAGTGGGAAGTGAAGGTGATATTGAGACCTTACAAAGAGATCTACAGGAACTCCACAAATGGTCAGATGATTGGCAAATGCTTTTTAATTTCGATAAATGCAAGACCTTGCATGTGGGGCACAACAATCCACGTCACAACTACTAAATTGACAGCACTACCTTACAAGAGATAGATGAAGGAAAGGACCTTGGAGTCAGAATCCATCATTCACTAAAAGTTGTACAACAAGTGGGAGCGGAAGTAAAAAAAAAAAATAAAAAAAACGAACCAGACCTTGGGAATAATCAAGCGTACCTTTACCTTCAAGGAAAAGAAAGTAGTCGTTCAATTGTATAAGTCTCTGGTACGCCCCCATCTGGATTATTGCATCCAAGCATGAAGACCTCATCTTCAGAAAGACAGCTGCTCTGGAGAAAATGCAACACCGGGGAACAAAAATCATTCCAGAACTTAGTCATCTCTCGCATCAGGAACGGTTGAGGGCCACCGGGCTAACACCACTGCAGGCCAGGCATGACAGGGCGGATCTCATCAAAACCTCTAAAATACGGAACAACTTGGATGTCAATCTGGACAATTTATTCTAAAGGTCATATAACACGAACGAGGAGCACGGGCTCAAGCTCAACAAACCACAATGTAGGGCAGAAAACAGGAGATGCATTTTCACCCATAGGGTTGTAAACCCCGTGGAACTACCTACCCGACGAAGCCGTAAACACCAAAACTCTGCTGGGGTTTAAAATACAGCTAGAAACGATCATCAGGGAAAATGGGGGGACCTTTGACAAGCCGCCGGCTTCCTGTCCTCATCGAGGCCACTAGTATTCGTGGCTCAGGTAAATTCAGGTAAATAGTCTGTTGATTCCTCCCACCTACACAGTCACATATACGCTACAGATTGCTCCCATCTACACAGACACATGTACTCTAACCATTGCTTCCCTCTACCGCGTAAGGGAAGATAAATTCCAAATAAAGATATTCTATCTTACTAAATTAACTGCACTGCTCTAAACTTCTCTGAAATTAATATAAATCAAATTATTTTGAAAGTAAATTTTCAATGTCAATAAACACCTAATAATCATAGAATTAGTAACTGTTCAGTGTTTTCAATACTTAAGCTGGAAACATTTTCTATTTAGTAACTCAACTTTTCTCACATTTCATTATAGCAAAGACTGTACGTTTTCCCAACACAGGATAACATAAAAAACTGAACAAATAAGGTCAATTAGATATCAAGTGCACTTCCATCCGGCAACTTGCTCTTCTTCCCTACGCAAAACTTTCATCGTTGAGTGTTATACTATTTTCCTCTAGTCAAGCCGAGTCAAAACAAATTCTAATGACCCTTTTACAGCTAGATTCTAGGGGACAACCATCCATATAAATGGAGGTCAATAACCTTACACAGTGAGATGAGCACCTCACGAGCACACACCCCACAACCTGTGTGTGTGGAGTCTCAGTGGATGCGGAACATGCATGCCATCTTGCAACACGTATCACATGTCCTTAAAACTAAAACAGATGTGAGAAAAGCCTGGGAATTAAGATGGAAACGTTTAGTTTATACATTTCCACCCGGCATCCTCAACTCATTCTCACATTAACTTACAACTAACATCTATACAGAAGTTGAATCAGAATCGGGATGTAAGACTTTCACTGTCACTGCACAATTTCCTAAAGTCCCTGAGTCTTGTGGTTATATGTAGACACACTGTCAAGTGGCAAATGCAGCTGGCGAAGGCAATATTCCGTGCAAGACGACGGGTCACACTTGTAGGGTTGACAAGGTGACAAAAACCATTAGGAGTCTTCTCATCACTCCTAACAGGGGACAAGCGTAGAGCAACAATAGATGACTTCGTGGTGGAATAACAACAAGCAGGGTACATAGTATTAACAGAGCTATGTGACCACACATCTTGGATTTTCCTCAAAAGTCTGCATGCAACAGTTGTTCACAGGCTTTGTTGATAAAGGTGCTGCCACAGCTCTGGCAACCAGTGGCGGAAAGCGATATAACCACCCAACCGCAGTGGCTGGCAGGGCAGCCAGGTGAGGGCCCTCTCCACTTAGCTGAGATAGCAGAGTGGTGGCTGGATACATGGTCAGGTACATCAACTGAGGCCAGGCAGGCGTGAAACACCTCATGGTAGGTGTAAGGCACACAGCACATGTAGGGACGGCATCGACTAGTGGGGACAGACAGCTTCAAAAGTTGTGGCCAGACAGCAAATGCTATATAGAAACTGAAACAACCTGGGTAGAACAGCAGAGAAGTAACAGTGGACGATATCTTGACAGTTGTAGCCAGACAGCTATAACAGGTGTAGGCAGACAGTTCCAAATGGTGGGGGCAGACAGCTCAACAGGTATAGGCAGACAGCCGCCACAGGTGTAGGCAGAGCTGGTACAGGAACAGGTGTAGGCACAGCTGGCTCAGGAACAGGTGTGGGCACAGCTGGCTCAGGAACAAGTGTGGACAGACGACTTAACAGGTGTAGGCTTGGGTGGTATCCCAAGCAGGGTCAAACGGGGCCAAAGTCCCCCCAAGTCAACCGCTCCCCCGCTCCGGGGACCTGCACATTAGGACTGGGACCGAGCCGTCCTCCAAACCCTCCACCTCAAAAGAAAAGGCAGAAGCTGCCAGAAAAGCTGGATCGAAGGGGGCCCATTGGTCAGACCCAAAAGCACCAGCTGGAGGAATGGGCTCGAATGCCTCCCTCGTCACATCGGAAGGGACATCCCTCCAAAACTGTCTCACCACCAACTAAACCACACCCCGACTCCGAAACGTGTGAGGGTTTCGGAGCTGGAAGAAGGGAGGAGTAGGGAGAAACCGGACGAACAACAGCAGGAGAAGGACCTGGGGGCACGGACTAAATAAAGGTCGAAGCAACTAACACCCCCAAGTCCGGGTCCCTATAACCAAAACAGGGCATCCGAGTGAGCAACCAACCTAGCGCGCTGCAACAACCTATAAGGTGCATGCAACGCCGAAGCTGCCTGCACCCGAAGATCAATATCAGTGGACTGGGTGATCTGGAGAACAAGCAAGCAACACCACTTGCAGGACTCTGGGTCGAAGGTGTCACCAATCCAACAGTCAGCATGACGGAGGCAAAACAGGTGATTGTCACCCTGAGATAAGGGGACAGAGCAACCTTCAAACTCGCACGAATTGAGATGGGACCCAGGGGACGCTTCCATCGGACCACTGAGCTCCAGTGGGGTTTTCCCAGGACCCTTATACGCTATGCTAAGGGAAGCTCAGGCAAAGTACTGCTAACCAGCACCCGAAATTACTAAGCAAACAACTAATAGGTGAACCCCCGGGATGTGTACACACACGGGGACCTAGTGGAGGACCACCAAGAATACAATATATACAAGTGGCAACAACACAAAGAGCAGACCCTCCACCAGGCAGAAAACGAAAACAAAAGGAAAACTCCATACGAGTACAACGTACCCAGGTGGAACAGAGCCGGCGGCAATATCAGGTGAAGAACAGCTGCACAGTACCAGTGACGAAGCTACCTCCTACCCAGAGATAAACAGTGATGCATGGAACACCCCAGCTGACCCCAAGGGCGGGCAATCACCGAGCAGCAAAAGACCACAGTGGAAGCAGCCCTCAACCGATTTGTGGATGGTAACCCCAAGCCACAAGAGAAGTACTTACAAGGCAAATAGGGAAGATAACCCTAGACGCATGCAGCCCAAGTACAGTGGAAACTACTCCTGGCTCGCACACCACCACTAAGACAGGACCACACCACAAGGCACAGCACTGAAAGGATTCGGAGCCAGAGTCGCATAACACACCAGGTCACACATCAGCCGGGAACTGAAGGTGTGGATAGCCTGCACGGGGGTCTGGGGCTCCCCCATCCCCCTTCCGGGGAGGGGGGAGCTGTGAAGACGGTTGTAACGTCATGCTCGTTAGCTCGTTTTTCGTTTGGGGGAGTTTTGTCCAACAGTTCGGCTTTCAGTAGTAATATTTTAACCAGATAGGGTTTGTTTTGGGGCACCTACCTTTCTGGGTGCCTAACCCGGTCCATGGCAGACATAAAATGCTTCCAACCACATCGGGGTTTCTATAGGCTATTGTTCCTCGTGCCTCTCTGAGGGGACTAGGTTCTGGCTCGTGGTCCCTGGTAGGCCTAGAACTCCATTCGCTTTTACTGATGCCAGGGTTTAATACATTCATGTCATCGTGGATAGCTCTGGGGAGCCGAAGGGACTCCCCCAGAAAAGCTAACCAAACCACTGGAATAATCATGCGTACCTTTGACTTTAAGAAAAGGTAGGTAGTAATTCAAGTGTATAAATCTATGGTGCGGCCCCATTTGGATTACTGCATCCAAGCATGGAGACCCATCTGCAGAACATAGTTGCTCTGTAGAAAGTGCAACACCGGACAATAAAAATAATTCCAGAGCTAAATCATCTCTCGTTTCATGAATGGTTAAGGGCCACAGGGCTAACACTGCAAACCAGGAATGACAGAGCAGATCTCATTGAAACTTTTACAATTCTGAACAATTTGGTGAATGTTGATCGGGAAAATTTCTTCATAAGGTCAAATGTAACACAAACAAGGAGCAATGGATTCAAGCTCGACAAGCCACAATGTAGGACTGAGAACAGGCGGTGCTTTTTCACCAACAGGGTTATAAACCCATGGAATTGCCAACCCATCAAAGCTATAAATGTCAAGACTTGAATTTAAAAATGCAACTGAAAAAAAATTATCAAGGTAAATAGGGGACCTTTGACAAGCCACCGGCTTCCTGTCGTTGTCGAGGCCACTAGTGTTAGTGGCATTCTGGTAAATTCAGGTAAAGTCTCATATTCACAGTCATTGGATTCTCATGCACAATCTGCATAATTTTAACTCCTTCCAATATAGTAATCTCACTTCAAGACACAAATTTAGTGCTACAATATACTGTAAAACCAAGAAGCTGGATTTTAAATGGTAACATACCCAGCCAGTTCCTGTAAAAATTTTGACATCAAGGGGGTACCCGGTGAGCCTTCCATTGATGACGAGGAGGGAGTGGCAGGAGACCAGAGCCTTGGTGAGGTGCTGGTCTGGCGGCAGAGTCTTGAGGTCCTCCACCGGAGCACCAAATTCACCCCTAACACATGGCACCACCCCAGCCAGCGCTAGGTCATCCTCAGTCAGTGTTCCTGTCTGTGTATGAACCACATGATTAATTATAAGGACTACAATCCAATATTATATGAACTTAACTTCCTTATCAAGCTTCCATGTGGATCAGTATCAAAAGCTTTACTAAATCCACTAGAATGGCTATATAATACAGCAGCCTTCACCATTGTCTTCTATAAACATGTTTGAAAAGAACATGTTTATAGGAAAGAAAAGACCTTTAATTACCAAACCTACTAGAATTACTGAAACGACTGCCTCTACTCTTGACCACATTTGGACTAACATAACCTTTCTACTTATTTCAGGGATAATCACTGATAGGACCATAGACAAAACATTTCTTCTAACCAACATTAATAAACCACCTCTGGATACAATGATATGCTTTAGGCTGCACAATGAAACTTCTATAAGCAACTGTATTGCGGCTGCTGCTAATATCATCTGGGAGTCTGACATAGGTAACATAGTGAACATCAACCTTGTAGTACAAACATTTCTTCAGAAAACTCTGAGCCTTTATAATACCCACTGTCCAATGCTAACTAAACAAGTCACAATTAAAGGTTAAATAATCCACGGCTTAATAAGATAGCACACCATTGTGCTATCCAGATAGCACAATTGTGTGCTATCTGCCTGTGACACTGATATTAAATTCAATAGTTTCTTCCCATCTATTGGCACCTCCCTTGCAAATGATATCCCATCCTCCCAAACTAATGTTAAGGACTACCTTACAAGGAAACTATCCAGAGTTTCTGTCGAAGTTTTTAAAATCAGGAAAAGGAGTAAACAATAATTCGAAATTTTTTGTTTTTGTTTTTTATATCAGATGAATCAGCCAAAAGTTGTAAAGTCTTGCCAGTAAATTACAGTGCTGAATCTCATGATCATTTTACTTGGTTAAAACACAATAAAATAAAATACAATTAAACAACCCCCTAACTGGTCCCTCTAGGCCAGAGGTGTTGCCCACCCCTGACCGTAGGGGGGGGGGGGGGGCCTTGTACATCAGGTTTACTATCCCAATAATTTGAATTAAATAAATGTACAAATTTAAAAATGCATTGCAAATCACTTTAATTATTTTAAATGTTTTATTATGATCGCACTGTGGGAAGCTATTCTTAGAAACACTATCAAATGTACACAGACTACTGAACTAAGTGCCTTTCGGACATTATTGGTATTGGGTCCATTATGTATATCCACTTTGCGATTCACTTTTTTTTTTTGCAAAACACACAATATATTCATGGTGTTTATAATAGTCACATCTATATGGATTTGTTTAAGGTTATCAGCTTTAAGTAGTTTTTCATGCATGTGTAAGCAAGTAACTCTAACCTTATCGAAGCAAACGACGTCAATGGACCCGGCAAGAGAGATGTAGTTGGAGGAGAGAGAGAAGATGCCTTGCTGCTTGAGTCTGTGTTGTGCCCACACGTTGATGGCTGTGATGGTAGCGGGCAGGATGGGCGGAACCACGAAGGTAATCAAGTCCAGCGAGTTTAAGAGGACTTCGTCCCATGAAGCCTGTAAGAGCAGACACTTATAATTCCCGAGTACCAGACAACATGGCGTCTCCACTTCATATTTAATGGCAATGATAAGTGTCAAACTAAACATGTATGAAGCAAGATTGTTTAATTAATGAATGTTTAATATGTTGATCAGACCACAAACTAGAAAATGAAGGGACGACGACGTTTCGGTCCGTCCTGAACCATTCTCAAGTCAATTGTGAATCGACTTGAGAATGATTGTGAATCGACACAATCGACTTGAGAATGGTCCAGGACGGACCGAAACGTCGTCTTCCCTTCATTTTGTAGTGTGTTGTCTGGTCAACATATTTCAGCCACGTTATTGTGACTCATCATCTGAATATCATTCTAATTTGCTTATTATGCACACTCATGCAGCAGGCAGGGTGAGAAGGTTGCAGTCACGTGCAAGCAGTATCTACACTAGGTAAACTTAGGATACTTGCTTAAGAATGTTTAAATTGTATTAGTTTAATGATTAGACAATATTGGAACATTTATGATAAGATTCTAAATAGTGATAAGATTCTGTTCTAAAGATGACTTTTTTCACATTATATCACATAATAATGTTGGGTGTATGAAGAGTTTTGCTGGTACTGTTTAAGATTAGTAATATCTATGCAACATTGATATTGTTAGCTGATAAATATTTCACTACTTGCATGGCAGTATGATGATATATGAAAGAGCTAGAGCAAATTTTACCTTGTCCCGAATCTATGAAGGTTTGTTGGAGTTCTTGGTTACATTTTGGGCTGCTTTTAGGAATCAATTAACAGACTTTTAACTGTTGTCACAGATTGAATACAGTTATACTAGAAACACCTCCTTTACTCCCAGCAGGTCTTATATACCACCCATGGTCTGCACTCCAATACACGTCACTCCCGCTCATTTGGCCCCTGTGCCCACTAAGGTCCTACCATCACACATGTATCTCCCTTTTAACCATAAGAGAGAGAGTCATAAAGAGGGATACAGACCTGAACTGAGATCCAGATAAAGAAGCTCCAGGTCATGGCGGCTACACCAAGCACCAGGAATACTACCAATAGCTTCAGGAAGTCTTTGTAGAAGTGAAAATCAATGGGCTTCGGAAAGAGGATGGATCGGACCAGCTCTCCGCGGGTTGTGTAGAAACCTGATGAGAAAGGATTATTTTCTGGCGTGGTTAGTTGGTTTGCCTAAGTGATTTAATTGCAGAGTATAAAACACTAAGAATGATACTGAAATGCACCAGGATGAGAATAAGTTTTATTATTTGTAGATGACGTTTATAAATATAAAAACATGGGAGTGGTGAGGTCTGTGAAGTGAGGGAGTGTTAAGGTCAGGGAAATGATGGTGAGTCGAAGTCTGTGAAGGAACTGGAACTGGATGGGTAGGAACTGGTATAGTGTTATATTAGTTGGGGGTCATCAGTCACAGAGTTCTTTCACCTACCAGGGACCACGAGCTAGAACCTGGCCTCCCTCAGAGAGGCGTAGGGAGCAATGGCCTATGAACACTTTACATTTATAGTACATCATACTTACCATCAACCAGGGAAGGCACTCTGGAAGGTAGGTGAAACAAAACAGACCACAGTCTGGTGAAAAATGCGACATACATCCTAAAATGAGCAAAAGAATTCCCCCAGAAAGAAAACAAACAAGCAACACTTCATTCAACTAGCCCCTCTGAGGGGAAAGGGGAAGCTGGGTCAGGTGAGCCCGGCTACCAACCAGCCGGTTCATGAACGATGAAAACGGCCGACCGGAGGGAAGGAGGGGGTTAAGGAGCCTCAGGGGCACACCCAGAAACGCGTTTCATTACATGTAATGCTGTTTTTTTGTGTGAAGCCTCGTCGACTCCCTGAGGCATACTACCCAAAGAAAAAACAGGAACTTACCCGGGAGGCGGCAGCACTGCAGGTCTCAATGTGAGGAAGAGACAGATGGGCGCAACAGGTGCCCCAAAGCAGCAAAAAGCCGCAGAGGGCCCGGGACAATCACGAAATACCTGGTGACCAGGACCCTGTTCGACCTCCAAAACCCTAACGCCCGAATATCGTCTCAAGACATATTGTCAAAGACAGCTGCAAGAGCAGCAAATTTCCTAACATCATGGGCACGAGGGTAGATACCACGCTCGCTAGACTTAATGACACTGCGGACAACCTGAGACACAAGCCCTGGAATAAGGAACCATTGGAAACAGAATCAACCCAGAGCGTGTCCACCGACACAGAATTAGTGGCCTGTAGGTTGTGATGTAAAGCCGCCACCAAACCAACCCGTCCTCTTAAAAATAACGTCACTTTTGGCTCGTGTGCGCGCTATGGCCAAATTTGGACGTAATTTGAAATGAAATCGACTCACAAAAGTGACGTTCTGTTCCGTTTTCTATTTGAGTCGTCCGGCGTATGCGCAGAGGTTATGAGAGCACACTTTAAATTAACGTTTTTCATAACGTTTTGAAACTTTATGAGAATTTCCTGCCCACCTAACCTATCAGAGGACCCTTAACTTACTGTTGTTGAAAAAAAAATCCCAAATTTATTTTCATTTTTTTTTTCATTTTCAAATTACGTCCAAATTCGGCCATACTGGCAAACGGCCAAAAGCGACGTTCTTTTTAAGAGGACAGATTGACCAAACACAGCACATGATGCATCCCCCTCTTAAGCAACCAAGCATCCACAACCAACCGACCCCAAAACTATCCTCAGGACCAAAGGAACAGAATCCCCGGCGCCGGAGAAGAGCATGAAGCTCCCCAATCCAACCCCAAGAGGCCAGAATCAACAAAAACAAGGCTTTCCAAAAGCAATCACGAACCGAAGGGCCAACCACAAAACAAGGAGAAGAAAGACAGGAAAGAACCAGGTCCAAAGACCAAGAAGGCTCAGGCGGCGCATGAACAAGCCGGAGATGAAAAAACACAAGCGACAGCTTGCGGAATGGAGCAGAAGTGATATCCACTCTGAACGCAAGCTGAAGCAGCTCTACCAACGTCGCACGATAAGAAACGACAGTATTCGATACCACCATAAGAAAAGTGAAGAGAGAATGGGCAAAACAACCCTGTCTAACACCAACGAAACCTGACGAAGAGAAAGGAAATGGCGGAAAGCCCACCAAAAAAAATTCATACTGTCACTGAGAAGAAGATCGTTGGTGGTATACCATCAAAGAAGCCACCTGATCACCATAGAAATAGTGATACACACGCGTCAGAAAAACCAGACGCATAGAACGGAGGTGTAAGTCGAACCAACGAGGTACCTCACCAGCCGACCTGCTGAAAAAAGCAGAGCCACGGATCGGGCTCGGGTTCGGACACCGAGCAAGCAGCGCCTGAAACCAGGCCTGGGCCGGCCACCATTGAGTCAGGAGAACTCTTCACCATTAGCACTCCAGCCGAGCCAGAACCTGAAGCAACAGCTGTACCGGGGGGAAGAGGTACAGGAACCTGAACCTCGACCAGTCCTGCCGAAAAGTATCTACCGCGAGAGCCTCGCAGACGGGAAACAGCGTCACATAAAATGGGAGACGTACCTGGACCATACCGACGCGAAGAGGTCGACCTCCGGGCGCCCAAACATCCGACAAAGCCAAAGGAAGGAAACGGCATTGACCACCCACTCCGTTGAAAGAGGAATGAAGCGAGAAAGCCCATCTGCCAGGATATTGAACACACCCTGAACGTGAACGGCACTGAAAGCTAAACCCCGAGAACTCAACAGAAGACCTACCTGATGTGACCAGACCCAAAGAACCATGGACCGAAGAGACCCACCCCTTTGAGAAAATGAACTATGGGGAGCAGTCCAAATGGAACCATATCACCAAGCCCTGAGGGAGCTATGAAAAAGGGTAAAAGTACAGCACCTGGTGAAGATGGCGTCACCTACGACATACTCGATGCACTGTGTGAAGTGTCTGGGAATCCACTACTCCACCTGTTTAACAAGTCATTCCTAAGTGGAGTGTTGCCCACACAATGGAAACACGCAATAATTGTTCCCATACCGAAGCCTAATGACCCTTGTAATTACAGACCTATCAGTCTCGTGTCATGCACTTGCAAGATGCTTGAAAGGATCATCCTAAATCGACTGTTGCACAAAATAGGCAGGTTAGGGGAGGGGGTCAATGGATTTGTTAAAGGACGGAGCACAGCAAATTGTATAGTTAATTACTTGGCTAATGACATGACTAGGTACTCTGTATTTGTTGACATCAAAGGAGCCTTCGACAAAGCACAGGGGATTGCGATCCTGGACGAGCTTGCATGCATAGGTGTCAAGCGGAGACTCATGAAATGGGTTGAAGACTACCTCACAGGAAGGAAAGCCAAGGTTTGCTTCAATGGAGCAGTCTCCAGAACAATGAATATGGAACTCGGGACCCCCCAAGGCGGAGTCTTAAGCCCTACACTATTCAATGTACTTATGAACGCCATTGCAAATATTGATTTTCCGGAAGGAACACAAGGCATACACCCATCACAAGCGGAGAGCAAATGAAGAACTGCAAATTAATGGTGTAACACTTGAATGGGTTGACCACTATCGGTACCTTGGCGTCACTGTCGGCTCTAACAAGGGAAAGAAAGAGGAACTCAATCAACTCATAGGAACATGCAAAAGTTGACTCAGGGCACTGAAAGCTATGACCTGGAATGGACATGGAGCCTCTATTGCCGTGCTTAAAATGATGTACACAGCCTTTGTGCGCTCCGTCATAGACTATGCCGCACCAGTTTGTGCACCTACTCCCAAAGCGATATGAAAAGGCTTGAAAGCATTCAAAATGAAGCCATGGCAATCATTCTTGGAGTTCCAAGGACTGCCAAAACGTCTAATCTACGAGAGGAGTTGTCCCTTCCCAGTGTTTAAAGCAGAATTCAGGAGCTGAATGCTAAGCTTGCAATTAGAATAGTCAGAGATCCCCATTATAATGATATTGCTAAGAAAAAACTGAGCTCTGTGCTACTTTCAGGGGGGAAACAGGAGAAGCAAAAAATGGCATCACAGATCAGTCTGCTTCTTCGAAGAGCTTCACCTGCTTGAGCAAGCCCGTGAGCTCCGGCCTGTAGAGAGGTTACCTCCCTGGGAGGATGACTCGTGCAAGATCATCATCAATGAAATGGCAACGAAAAAATCCAACATGATATCACAAGAAATGAGGCACAAGTATCTCGAGGAAATTTATAAAGAAGCCGGAGATGAACTAGTTCAAATGTACACTGACGGGTCATCTAATCCTGTCAATGGCAGGGCTGGTGCAGCATACACGGAAATCAAGGATAATACTTTCCAGCGCAGAAATGAAGAAAAAGCACGTATTGAGAACTATGCCTCTTCAACGCAAGCTAACTGCCATTGTTATGGCGTTAAGGTTTCTTGAACGGAACACTAATGGTGCAGTGATTTGCACCGATTTAAAAGCAGCACTGCAAAGCCTAAGTAAAAATCGGGCAGAAAATCTTGCAATAGTCGCTGAAATTAAGAGAGCTGTGAGAGTACTTACCAATCAGGGAAGAGTCATCAAGTTTCTGTGGATCCCCTCCCATGTTGGAATATGTGGGAATGAACGAGCAGATGTGCTGGCTGCTGAAGGTGCTGAAGGAGACCATATTGAATACTTCATACCCAAGACTCTACTACAAATTAGAGGTATTATCAGGCAACATCACCGTGACAAGGTAACTGAGGAAAGGAGGATAGAAGCACAAACCAGTGAAGCTATACGATGGTACAACATGGTTGCAGCTGTCAGTCCCAGTCATTATGGCCGAAGAGGAGGAGGACGAGAGAGAGAATCAGTAATAGCGAGAATCCGTCTTGGATACAAATATCCTTGGAGATATGGAATGGAAACAACAGTTGGTCAGCGAAGTTGCAGAGTCTGTGGTGAGAGTGATGGACACCGCCTTGACCACTATCTACGTGAATGTGAACACCTGAGAGACATTAGAAATATGTGTAGAATAATAAACCCCACATTGTTTGAGTTAGGAAAACACTATTTGTCAAATATTGATACTGTTCTTAAAAGATTTCCCCATTTTGCACCCGCAAGATAACGTAAGCTTTTAAGGGTTGATAGATGTTAATAATCTTGTTTGAGGAGCTGTTCACTTGAGACAGTTAAGCAAGTCCCAGCTGTGTCTGGGTACAAGTGACAGGATGAACAACCCAGCGGGTTTTCTTCCTATTGGAGAGTGTTGTACATGCTTCTATGGCGGTGTGTCCACTCACAAGATGAGTGGCGCTGCCCAATAAACTCGCCCCTCGGGGCAAAATTTAAAATTTTAATTTATTTCAGTCTCACATTTGTTTCTTTTCTGGTGTTTTGATGTAATATTATTCAAAAGTGTGTAATTTGTGGAATTTATATAATTAAATGTGTGGAATATCGCTATACTCAAAATTATTGAGCTCACATATGGTGACACTTATATTATATTCTAAGATCAATCAAAAGTGTTTTATCAAAGATCGTGCATTGAGAGTTTATATACACAGACCAAGAACAACGTCAGCCTAGCGGCCAACATTTAGTGTAGCATAGGCTGCCCCAAATACATTTTTACATAAATATTTCAGTGTCTGTGAGTGGTTTTATATCTAGTTTTTTGCAGTATAATCAGTAAAATTTTCCATAGTGTGTAATTTGTGGAATTTATATAGTTACATGTGTGTGTGGAACATCGTTATGCTCAAAATTATGGAACTCATATATGATAACACGTATACAGTATTATAGTCAAAGATCAGTCAAACATTGTTTTTGTTGTTATTACACAATATACACATATATATAACTATCTACATTTTTGTGTACAATAATGAACCACAAACATCATGTGTTGATAGTTTATATACACAGAACAAGAATCCAAGGTCAGTGTAGCGGCCTACAGCTGAGTGCGGCAGGGGGTCTTGTGGGTGGAATATCGCTATTCTAAAAAAATATGGGGTCAAAAGTGACACGAATATTATATTCTTAGATCAACCAAGCAGTGTTCTTGATGTTATTACACTATATACTCATCTTAAATATCACTATCAACATTTATATGCACCATAATATACTAATAAGCAGTTCTGGTGAGTATGGTCATGAATCAAAACACAGCATGGAGCCACATGATACGAGCACACGATGCCAGCAGTCATGTTGCAAGACAATGCCTATATTTTACAATCCCTATATTCCCCATACAATCCCTATATTCTACATATTTACCTATGACAGCTACAAAACTGCTGTTATTACCACATTCCTATAACAAAAAAAAAAACGAATATGAATCCATTTCCACAAGGTTACATTGTGAAGGAACATGAGGTTGTTTCATAACGCGTAGATGAAGGAAACAATAGCTGGGTGCTGAGTCTCTCTACCTCATGCTGTGAATATCATAACTAACATTGTGTTCTATGAACGTTGTACATAGTATTAATCACAGTCAGGATCCTCTGTGACACTATCAATGCAAAATAATTATAGTTACCTATTTATTCATTATTACTAAGTGGTGCTGTGGCCCTAGCTGTGCAGCGGTGCTGTGAGCTGCTCCTGCATGCACCAGCCTTGATCGCTCTATTAGTACTGAGGCTCACACAGACAGTACGGATGCTGACGATATATTTTTTCAAGATGGCATCTGTTTATTGGAGTACTGAGGCACAGGATGAGATCCCCGCGTAGCTGCTGGAGTTTTGAATCGCTCCCTGTACCTAACAACGCCACATAGTGCTCTGTGCACCCCCAAGCGGGCACCTTAAGGGGCTCTGCGCAATGCAATGATTAAGCAGGTAATCAAGTCCTCATAGGTCTTCGTCGCGTGTGGTAGCTCTGGCACTCACAAGTTAGCTAGGACACTATAAACTGCTGTACCAAATGAAACTAAGAGTACCGACTGCTTGTTCGCATAACATTTAATCCCATGGTACTCAAAATTAGCTTCTAACAGGCTTAACCACAGATCTGGTAAGATCTTAGTACCATCAAATGGTTGGTTCCCTTGTGATGAGGGATAAAGCAGCCATGACTACGGGTTAAACTTAAGTCACCATTGTTCTTCAGGGTTCATAGGTTCTTCAGCCCGTCCATATGACGTACTCTGTTTCCCTGATGCGCCTCACCTCGTCTTGCAGGGATGCTGGGCTCGCTATCCGTTATCCCTGTTGCCACTTTTATAATTAGCCAGGAAGGGAAACGCACTTCTAGACCACATGGCATTTATTTACATCAGACAATGACGTCACAGCGATTATAGGCTACATGACTTACTATTTACAATACTTTTAAAACAAAAGAGCATCTGCTCGAAACATTATGCACCTAAGTAGTATTAATTCTACAAAATACCTAAATCCTATTACGGGCTCACTATAGCCAATGCTACATGGACATTTCGTTCTGAGTAGCTAAATCTAAACCGAGTTGCGTGGTGACCGCCGGCCAGGTCGGACGTTCCTGAGGTCTCTCCGCTTCTGGCTAGTGTTTACGTTGGGTGATCGCTTGTTTGCCCTGCTGGTGGTGGTTTGCCACTGACAGGGTGACGTTTGCTTAGCCATAGGGACGTCTCGCCCTCCAATGACGAGGACGCTGTCAGCTGGTCTGGCGTTTACGGTGCCGGTGGACCATCCATTGGTTGGTGTCGCCCTGGTGGACGTGCTGCATGTGGAGCTGTCGGACCTGGTGGGCATCCAGCTGCTTCAGGGCCACCGTGCTGTAGTCAAGTTCCGCCTCCAGGCTGCCTTTCAGGCGTTTCTCGAGCGGTGTGAGGGGCGTGTTTACCCTCTCCCTGATACTGCTGGCTCCGTTAAGGTAGTGAATCTCAGTGTCACCTTGACGTCTGTGACGGTGCATGGTGCCCCCTTCGAATTTCAGGACGACTTTTTAACATCCTGTTTCGAACGGTTTGGGGCTGTGTTAGGTGTTCGATGGAATAAGGTCGTTGCCGGGCACTGTGTTGGTATGCTTGACGGCTCCCGCACCCTGACGATGTCGCTGAAGTGTAGTGTACCGTCGTCGATGTCCGTGTTGGGTTACACACTCCGCTGCCAGTACCGGGGTCAACCGCGCACCTGTTATTGGTGTGGTCACGAAGGTCATCTGGCTGCGGCGTGCGACGTGGGAGCAACTGGTCGGGTGCATGTTCTTCGTGCCGAGGATTTTCCGCCCCTGTTGCGTTCGGACGGTGTGGGTGCTGTGCCTCAGCGCCTGACTGCCTGTCTGCTGCTCCGCCTGTTGCGGCGAGTTCTCTGGCCCGTGCGACACGTCAGGTGACTGCTGTGGCCCCTGGGGTTGTTGAGCCGGTGTGTGAGGGTGACGGGGCGTCGCCTGCGCTGCGTGTAGTGGAGGGTGTCCCGGTGGAGGTTCATGTCCCACCCCCGCCTGTGGATGTGGTAACGGCTCCCGGGGACGCGGGTTCTGCTGTTTTGGAGGGGATGCTTCGGCAAGGTGAGGTGCCTGCCGTGCCTGTGTGTGTTAACGACTGTAGTTCTGCTCTTTCCATTCCTTTGCAGAAGCGTGCACGTCGGTGTTCTGAGGCTGTTTCCGTGGATGATGTAGACAGTGTGGGTGATGTGGCCTCTGTGGACTCTTCGGACGGTGCGGGTGTGGCCTGTGTGGATGTAAAGATGGTGGCCGTGCCTGCGGAGGGGCCTGCTGGGCGTGGTGTGGTGCGGCCTGTCTCGAAGCGTTCGCGGCGGGCTCGGAGTGTGTCTCCCCTTCGTGGTGTGTCTTGGGAGGAGGTGGGGGAGTATGGTGCTCAGCTGGCGTCCCCCGCCGAGGATGATGGTGCTGTTGCTCCCTGTGCCCCCCCTTCCTGCGTCTCCTGCTGTTGGGTCCCCGCAGTGGGGGGTTGTCCCTGATGATCGGGACCTCGTCGTGATGTTGCGGAATGATGTGCGCCGGGGGGCCTCGGCTCCTGTGCCCTGTGGTGGGGTTGCTGCCGGGCCTGCATCCCCTGCTGTTCCCCCTCCTTCATTGCCCCGGTCTGATGGTTGCCTAGTCCCGTCTGCTGGGGTCGTGCCCTGTGAGGGTCCGGAGTTGGGCCCTTATCGGGATGCCCGGGTGCTTCCGATCCCATGGTGCTCGTCCACTATCTGGGTATCGTCTGAGAAGGTGTTTGTTTATAGAGTGCCGGATAGGATGTCTCAGCCGAGGGTACTGCCTGATGGCCGGCTGCCCGCCGACCTGTGGGTGATTTGGGAAGCGTACTGCTTGCGCTTTCCGATACACAAGTTTCCGGAGAAGTATTAGTTCCCATCTTGCGCACACGGATCAGCTGCCGCCGTGACTACGACTCCCCGCCCCCCGGTGCGGGGAGTCTCCCTCTAACGTTCGCCTCTGTTTTCGCCGCCACTCCTCTCTCTACGGCCCATCACATCTACCGCTTTTGACTTTCTTCTCCTCCTCACCATCAACGCGTCTCCTTACATCTGTCCTGGTGCAGTCATCGGGAGGGTTACCCCTTCATGCAAACTGCACCTATTCTCAAGAAGAAGAGAAATCTAAAACAACAACAACCTTAATCCTAACATACACTGATGAGCCACTTGTACTGTTCATCCACCTGCAATAATGACTCACCTCTCCTGATGACCCAACTGTACTGATGACTGAGCTGCACCAATGACCCACCTGTACTGATAACTAATGCTGGTAGGTGAGTGGCCCCCCGCACCTGTAGTACATGAGTACCACTGTAGAGGAGGTGGTGGCGGTGTTCCTCCCCGTTGAAGACTGTGTCACACTCTCGCTGGACACCAACCTACAGGACGTAATACACTCATCACACTGAACTTCAATGCAAGATTCAATATAATACAATAACATTTATATATCAAAAATACAATTAAAGTAATTGTACAATAAAGAATGTATTTAATTGAAGATACAGTACATAAAATCATATATTATATATATTTTGAACTGTATATGTAAATATATTACTAAAAAACTCTTTTGACCCGACCAGGATTCAAACGAGCGCCGTGTGGGATCACCCAGTAGTGTACAGGGTACTGACCACTACATCAATGATCGTCTACAATAGACAATCATTGGTGAAGAGGTTACAGTAGCCTGTATGCCAAGGGGAAATTGAAATTGAAATTGCCAAGGGGAGATCCTGGGTAATCACCAAGGTTATATTTGAGACAAGAATTTGATGAAAAACTGTACCCAAAGTGAACCATTAGTGTCGACGATGGCTGCTTAGTTGTGGAGCTTAGGTGTATGTTTGGCTGGACGTCATTGGTTTGAATTCTGGCCAGGTCTTGATATGTGTGTGTATATATATATATGTCGTACCTAGTAGCCAGAACGCACTTCTCAGCCTACTATGCAAGGCCCGATTTGCCTAATAGGCCGAGTGATTTTCTTTATTTTCAATAAATTGTTTCCAATTAGTATATTTGAGTTATTATTATAATATTATATTAAGAACATAAATTATTTACTTAGTTGTGTTAGTTTAGGTTAGGTTAAGATAGGTTAGGTAGGGTTGGTTAGGTTCGGTCATATATCTACGTTAGTTTTAACTCAAATTAACAAAAATTAACTCATATATAGTGAAATGGATAGCTTTATCATTTCATAAGAAAAAAATTAGAAAAATATATAAGTTCAAGAAAACTTGGCTTATTAGGCAAATCGGGTCTTGCATAGTAGATCGAGTATTGCGTTCTGGCTACTAGGTACAATATACATATATATATATATATATATATATATATATATATATATATATATATATATATATATATATATATATATATATATATGTCGTACCTAGTAGCCAGAACGCACTTCTCGGCCTAGTATGCAAGGCCCGATTTTCCTAATAAGCCAAGTTTCCCTGAATTAATATATTTTCTCTATTTTTTTTCTTATGAAATGATAAAGCTACCCATTTCATTATGTATGAGGTCAATTTTCTTTTATTGGAATTAAAATTAACGTAGATATATGACCAAATCTAACCAACCCTACCTAACCTAACCTAACCTATCTTTATATGTTAGGTTTGGTTAGGTAGCCGAAAAAGTTAGGTTAGGTTAGGTAGTCGAAAAGCAATTAATTCATGAAAACTTGGCTTATTAGGCAAATCGGGCCTTGCATAGTAAGCTGAGAAGTGCGTTCTGGCTACTAGGTACGACATTATATATATATATATATATATATATATATATATATATATATATATATATATATATATATATACACAGTCCTCCCAACCATTCCCCCACCCTTCCCCGCCCCTTCATCCTCCATACCATTCCCCATTCCCTTGTCCTCCCCACATTCTCAATTCCCCCCTGTCCCCTCATTCCCACCATCCCTGATTTCCCTGCCCCCTCGTCATCCCCACCATCCCTCACTCCCGTCCCCTCATCCTCTCCACCATTCTTCACTTCCTCGTCCGATGTTTTACAAATGATCTGATGTTTCCATAAAAAAATTTGGAACATCAAATGATCTGATGTTCCCATCACTGAAATATAAGAAAAACAGTTAAAAAACTAAATGAAAAC